CACAGTTATTCTGTTGCTGCAGAAAGGTTTTTTTACACATAAGACATTTTGCCGTTTGGCAGAAAAAGTTTTACAAGCCCCAGCATCCCAGAGCCAGGCATGCTGACTGGGCAATATTGGGCGTTGCAGAACTTTTTTCTTTCTAAACATGCACTGGACTGTGCCCTTAACTTGCCTTTTGGGGCACACTGCCACACAGGATGGCTTACAGTATTACAAAACCACGAAGATAAAATTACAGTTACACGCACATGTAGGAGGACCAGCAATTTATTTTTAAACACCAAGTGCAGACTGAAATGAGGTTGATTTTATTTTCTTACAGCCAGCCCTGATGTGAATGGAGCTCCAAAGATGTGAGGCCACTACTGAGAAAACTCTATCTCTACTACCCACCAGCTTAATTGCTCTTGCTGGTGGGCCAGAGATTAGAGCCTCTGGCACTGATCCTGCTGTAGACAGCCCTGCAGGTAACCTAGTCCCAAACCTAGTTTGAAGCCTAAAACTAGCACTGCAAATTGAGCTGGGAGAGTAACACGCCACCAATGTAAATATTACCAAACAGGAGTCATATGATCTGAGCAACTAGGTCCCACAACTGTTTTAGCCACTGTTCCATACCAGCTGCAGTTCCATACCAGCTGCAGTTTCTGAATTCAAGGGCAGCCTCACACAGAACACATGATAACAACCTAACCAACAAAGGCATGTGTCCTTATGGCTATGTCAGCTTTCTCTAGTCAGGTGTACAGCTGCCAAAACCCTTTTTGAACTGACTCTATTTGTGCCTCTCTGGGCAGTGCTGAGTGCAGAACCATTCTAAACAACACACCTGGCCCTTCAGGGGAAGCATGACCCAGGGGAGGTTAAGTCTCCATTCAAATTAGCAGATTTCCAACCTATAGCACTTCCTGAATTTTCAACCTGCTAATTCTCATACTTTCCAATATTGACTCTAAATACCCTTTTCTAGGTTTTAACTGTCTCCTGGGAATTAGATGATGAAACAGAGAGGTGGTTACATCTCATCTACATATTGATGAGACCTCCACCAATTAAGCCATCTCCTAGGTGGCTTCTACCAAAGGGTTTATGCAGATATTGAAAAGCATGAGGAACAGGATGAAGACTTAAGGCATTGACAAATATCAATTGGTCAAGGCATGGAAAAAAATTTCCACAGCACCATCTTCTGTGTTCATTCTCCTGAGAAAGGCCTGGAGCCATTGTAACTCCATGCTCCATCCCAGAAAGAGAGTGTAGAAAGATTCCACAGTCAATGGTATGAAAAGCTGAGAGGTCCAGGAAAACCCATATACCTATACACTCCCATCCACTTCTCTTGCACAGTCAACCAGCAAGGCATTTGACATCCAGAACCCAGGTCAGAAGTCAAACTGGAATGGATCTAAATAATCAGTGTCATCCAAAACTTCTTGGAGTTGATTTGATACTACTTTGCTCAGAAATGGTAAATTTGAAATGGGGTGAGAATTTCCCATAGCAAAGGGATCTGGAGTTGGCTTCTTCAACAGTGGCTTTACTAACAGCTCCTTTATCTTGCCCTTTAATAAGGGATTTACTAAGAGAGTGACCACTTCGAATATCTGTACTGTAAGCCTAACCCTGGTAAACTACATATATACATGGCCTAGCTATGCAGTATGTAACACGCGTGAACCCTGGCATTGACGAGGGCCAGCTCCTTTGCATTTGATGGAACTGAGATGTGTACATTGGAATAGAGGCTGGAACTGAAAGTCATGGGCCCAGGTTTATTTTGGACAGTAGTCAGAACAACATTACTGTGGTGTCAGCAGAGACAAGACTACCACTACAATTACCTTTCCCTTCTAAGCTCCTGTCTTCCTTTCAAGTGCTTGGCTCCATCTTGTGGCCAGCATGGTGATGGGGAACAATTAGAGAATGTGGTGCCATCAAACATCCATAGCCCAGTAACATCATGAAAAGATGTTTGAATTCAATTCTTATTTGTTTACCTTTTCAGGAACCAAATCAGGGTAGAATACAGCTAAAAGAGAATTACTAACTTCTGTCAAGGTCAAGGCTCTCAAAGTATCCTGTAAGATTGGGAGCCTGGGCATGGAAAGTTTGGAGGCATTCACTGTTCCACAGAAAAACAGACTGTCCTGTGAATGATGCAAGACATTACTGTAACCACTGGCTTACGCATTATATGCATAATACTTCATATTAGCATATAAGCATATACCAATTGCATCCATTTCCAAACATTTAGTGCAGGTCTTTGATCTCTTTAAATCATTGTCAACTGTTTGTTCATTGCCAGGTTCTACTACAACCCTACTCCAAGAACCTGAAACATTTACACCATTCTGTGTAGAGCAATGCATCAACATCCTGAGTCCAGTTTCTGTTAGCTTTCCCCTCAAGTTTAAAGGTTGCACTATGACTTTTTGTTGTTTACATTAAACTTCAACAAAACGTGCCATTGCTGTTCAAGCAGATCCCATCTGTTTTGTATAAGCTTAGCTTACACCAAAATGCCCCCTACCACCTAACATATATCTACATCCTGCCTTCGAACCAGTCTTTCCATTCATACTTTGGGAACAGCAACTTCGGTCTAGCTGTTTCCACATGCAAAGGAAACATCTTTCCTAGCAGGCTTTGAGAACCTTATGGCATATATCCCCAACATGTAAAACCACATTGCATGGTAACAGCAAGTTTTGTACCATCATAAAGCCAATTCAACCATCACAAACCTATTTTGTGAATACTTTATTCATCATCTTCCATTCTCACCATGGACGTATAGCCTAATCATGAATGGAAATCAGTTGTCCCCAAGTAATTGTTCAACTTCTAAAGAATAATTTCCCTCTTCCTTAGTGGAACACCATCCTACTTAGTATAGGAATGGTCCACCTTGTCCCTGAAGCTCTCTTCCATGTGTTCCTGTTTCCACAAATCAGAACATCTTAATGAATTTATTTCTGAACAGCAAGGAACTCACTGCATCAGTGCTTGCACACAGCTGCTGCTCAACAGACAGTTATGAGGCACTAGGCTGGCTTGCACAAGAACTGCACTCCACCATGGCTTATTTAAGCCATAGTGAGTTGTGCCACATAGCAGTGCCCATTTTGAATATCCAAGCTAAAGCATTTAGTCTGATTGTGATGTATGCACTTTGCAAGGACAGATTGTTGATGTGGTTAACAAGCCAGCTACATCCCATGGGTTGTTTTGGGGTTGTACATGATCTTCTATCAATAGCAACATATCTTGTGCTGAGTTCACATATCATTAACCATGACCACCTGACACTTGAATATTAAAAATTACTACCGCATACCACAAGCCATTTTGGCTTAAATAAGCCACAGCAAGCTGTGACGATTGTGCAAACCAGACTGCTTTGTTCAAGTCATTGGCTATTCCTCAGATCCCAGCTAGCTCAACTGGTTTAACAGATGTTTTCTTAATTACTAGAATGATGTGAAGAAATTTGCAATCCTGCAATGTTTGTTTGGTGGTTTTAAAAAAGAAATGGGAAGATGGAACCTACACCCTTGGTCAGAGATCACAACTGAAACTCTGCCTCTTATGAGCTTATTCACTGTGCAACAGACATGACAGGTTGTTCTGTCCTGTGCAACCATGAACTGTGATCCTGACAATGAACAAAATTAACTCTTTATAATTTTCAGCACACAATTTCATGAATATTGCAGGACTGATCATGCAGCATGAAGCAAGCAAGAGTTAGGTATGCAAACAGCTTTCACACAAAGAAAAAATTATTTGGGTGTGTAAATTTGATATCTTTTATATAACATTCTTAGGCAAGAATTTCATGCAACGGAAGTAGCTGCTTGGCAAGAACCAGACTTTTTTTCCCCTGACATAAAAATACTTGAAAAATGTGGAGTGTGGGCTCCAAACACCTTTAATCTTTTTTCCTCTGTGAATATACTCAAATTACTTCAGCATTTTCTTGGATAGAAGGTACCTATTTTTTTTCCAATTGACAACGTTCTTCTGTAACTGTCAAGCTGACAATCTAAGCTGGATAGCCTTAAAAAGATTTTGCTAGTAATGGATTGTGTACTGTTACTTCCCAAATCAAGATTCCCACCATAGTTGTAGGTGCCAAATTGTATGTTGTAGTTAATCGAATGGCCTTTAGTCTATCCTCAATCATAGCACTTGCTTTCTTTCCCAAGATAGCTAATTATTCCCTACTTCCAATTTATTATGTATTATACTTCAAATGTTAGTGACTCCAGTTGACTAAGCTTGTTTGAATACATACCAAGTGTTTGAAATCCTTCCCAAGCTTCAAGCCATGTTTTTCCTGGCAGAAGCCTTATGCTCTTTAGTGCTGGCCCACCAGCAGCAGAGATCAAATGGTGCTGCCAACAGATGAGATGCATTTCTGAATCACTCAGACACTAATTCCCATCTTCATTTCTCTTCCTTCTCCCATCCCAGTCCCGCTGCCTGAAAGACTTTGCTTCATTCCACTACAAAGGCAGAGCTAACCAACTATTCAACAAGTAACCAAGACGTGATTATATAAATACATGGGGAAACTTCTTCCAAGCAAACAGCTTAGTCTTGACATAGCAGTCACAGAATTTTTGTTGCATAGTTTAGTTTTAGTTTTAAAAGCAGGATATTTCCCATTATAACTTTACCACAGGCTCACATTTGCATTTGAACCATTTAAGTACACAGTAATATATCCTTTTAGCTATCCACCCATCTCCATACAGCCACAATAAATAATGAAGCTACAATTCCTACCTTTCCTAACCATTGTAATGATAAGATTTGGAGCCCAGCAGCATCTGGAAGGCTACCAGTTCCCTACCCTCATTTTAGTTGAAGAAACTGGTTTATTGGCTTTCAGATTTGATACCATTTCCTGTCTTCGTAGAGAACAACACTGGTGCAGGCACTTCCCGGTAACAACTCACCATGCCACTAAAGCATCTTTGACCCAAATCAACAAGCAGCACCGCTTTATTTAGACTTTCATTCCTTTATCACATTAGCTTTTAAACAAGGGTAGACAAAAGTGCCTGAGGCCTGAAAGAAAAACATCCGTTTCAGTTTAATAATACATTAAAAAGTGGAGGGGGGATCAAACCAGAAAGAAGTTACATTCATGAGTTAGAACAGTTTCCATGAGGAGGGTTCCTTAAAGCATGCTACGCTATGAATGCAATGCTCCATGAGAGGAAGGATTTGGGGAAGACTGAACTCAGAACAAAAGCTTTGTTCCTGCCATCCCTCCTAATCACCACTTCTTTGCAGTGCCTTTTCTGCTTGGGCCAGCTGGGAATTAATTCCTGACCCAATGAATCCCAGGGAAAAGAACAAAACAAGCATGTCCCAAAGGCATGATCCTAGCGGGACTCCAAAGTGGGAAGTCCTCACAATTTTCAAAAGATGGGTTGAGCTGCCAATAAAGCAGCCCAGAGATTTCCATTTTCTGAGCAGATGAACACCAGCTATAATTCTCCAGTTAAAACCCTGTGGCTGCACTGAGGGCCAAGGCAACATAGTTGGGTACCTGTGGCAGAAAAGGCAAATAGCATCCTTCCTCTCCTTAATTAACAGGAGACACCATCCACTGGGATGTTCTCTTGTAGAAACCCCACAGAAATGAATGGAACGCAAGAACACTATTATGCTCCTATTCATTTCAATGGGGCTTGGGTAGAATTTCCCTATGCATTGTGACCCATGGGTCAGATGGTCCCCAGTTCTGTAACCCCTAACAGCACACCAACAATCATCTGCCTGAGGTAACCACAGGTTATGCACCTCTGGCTACACACATTATAAGACACCACTGTATGATGAATGTTCAATTTGAACCTTATTTTCAACAAGGTTTTTTTTTTCAGCTTCTGCTCTTCAAGCAAATTCATCATCCATATGGGGGCTCAGGGGAAGCTGAAACAAGTAATTATACAAAAAAGAAATCAGGCCAAACATACACACACTGAGATTCTGGCGCAACCAGTCCCCAGAACCACATACAGCCTTCCTTTAAAGTCTTTGTGTTGTCTGCAAGTCCCGGCCTGAAAATATAAAGCACCACATTTTTAAAAAGGCTTGTAAAAATAAATAAGCAGCACAAAAATAATACAAAGGGAGAGTAAAATAAGCAGTTATAAATATAACTCAGAACAAGAGGTTTGGATAAGTTAAAGGTCTTGTTTCAGGGCAGGAAAGACTGGGGAGAGAAGATGTGCAGGAAATCCAACAGAATTTGGCTGTCAGCACCAATCACAGCAGGAGGCCTTAAAAGCTGAAATCACAGAAAATGAAGATGAAATCACAAATGTGTGGAAAAGCTACAGCAACAGAGACTGCTGCTTGGCTTCCAACATGAGTTGTAGTAGTCCTAAGAGCTATCAAAGTATTGAAAATGTGGCAATAAAGTCAAAATTAGATGTAGGGAGGGGGGTGAAGAAGAAAAGTCAAAGATTAAACCCAGTAATGTGCTATTCACCCATGTTAAGCAGAACTCCACGTTGGCAGATGCCCAGGAGCAAAGCATGCCACCGCTCACTACCCTTGCTAATGATCACCCATTCTGAAGTTCTCTTGAGAAAACCTCACTGAAACCAGGAGCTGCACAAGAGACTGTGTTTGTCTCAGTGAGGCTTTTGCAAAAGAACATCCCACTGAACTGCAAGCCATGGATTAAGCCCATCTCCAAAGAAGCAGGCACCCTGTAGCAGGAAAGGGTAGTTGGTGATGTCAGTAAAGGAAGAGAGGTGTAGTGGGGCGGGCAAGCATGTCAAGGGAGACTCCAAGGCAGGTAATGTCCAAGGTATGACCCAACACTACAAGTTTTATCAATTAAGCATCTTCTCTCTTATTCATAAGCTAGCTATTTTCATAGTATCATTCAAAGTCGCTATTTGCTTCCTTCAGAAAACTGGCTCAGTCCTTCATATGCAGTACATCAATGAAGGTGGCAGTTAAGGAGATGTTGGGGACCCAAACCTGGCAACCCCCAGATGTGTGTACCTGCAACTCCCAGCAGTCCACAGCCCCAATATGGCTGGCTGGGGCTACTTTTCAGAGTTACAACTCAATGCATCTGGGGGACCCCAGGTTAGACAAGCCTAGAGTAACATAGGCTTGTTCTCTGCAGACTTGGAGAACCAAGACACTTTTGGCTGAAACCTCTAGAAGGCAGCTTGTCTAAGGTTGGAGGCAAACAATGATATTAAAGAAGCTGATGTTTATCTGCTGGAGGCATTGTCATCTGTTGTACAGAGCTTCTTTTCTCCTGCCAATTCTCATGGTTGGTCACATAGATTCTGCATGTTCTTGAAAGAATGCAAAAATCTGTTTGACCAAAGATAACAATGGAACAAATTAACTGTGGCTATATAGGCAGTGGCAACTCTACTATGGCCACCTGCTGTCTATGTCTTAAACCTAAAGAGGCAGGCTGTGATTTGATCCCAAAGGAAGTTTCTTGAGTATGGGGGAAAGGTAGAAGCCCAAGCCCATCCTGTGCTCATATGAAGGGGAACTATTAAAAAAACTATCCCAATTGTTAAGCAAGAGCTATCAGGAAGCGAAACATAACCCAGGGAACCTGGCTGAGACATGACGACTCCAATAGCACCATGTAGGAAGCAAACCACCAAGGGGGGTCTGTGATCCACCCTTCACAAGCTCTATGTGAAGGTTCAAGTGTTTGTCTGAGATTAGCTTATTGTTAAAAGTTGGACACACAGGGACCTACGTAACAGATAGTGTTGCAGTCATTCTGCATGAGCAGCAATATGCGAAGGGGTTTCCTGTCTGTCCACTGAAGAAGGCAAAGCAAGTTCTTCACCCACAAATTAGAGATCCAAAAGAAGTAGGTTGGATTGTACTTTTGAGAGAACCTACAACCTCTGGTTGCTCACCTAGAAGTCGCCTTCTGCCCACATTCAATTTCTTATGACATGCAATGGGATAAAAAATAAGATGGGAACAAATGTAATGACAATAAATGTCATGCTGGGTTGCATGCTTTGTCCCCAAAGTAATGAAGGAAGACGACTCTGCACCCTACAGCATAAGAAGGGCTCCAGCCATTTAGGGTAGTTGTAAAGTGTGGTTACCTTTTGGTAATACTCTGAGTCAAATAGATCAGCAGGGTAACAGACCACAAACCTGGCCTCATGTCAAGCCAGACCAGTCAAGGACTAGTGGGTTGCAGAAGATGAGTTCACCTGTCCTAGTTAAGACTCCCTCCATTCATTCTTGCCCTGCCTTCACATCCAAGGATACCAAACTGGTTTAAATCCCAGTCTCATGCAGGTACTACTCATTCTACGCATGTGTCCATGGAACGTGATGGACACCCTCTTGGCCTGCATGATATGACCAGTAGATCCTTTAGTTGTAGGGCTGTGTAGATATTCTGGTCAGCAGAAGAGTCCTCCCGTAGTGTGCTTTTGCCAGCAGAATAGACCTGCTGGTGGATCAAGTCTTGCCTCCCTCTACAACCCCACACATGTAGCCCAGATCTACTCTAGCAAGCTGGGTGATCCTCCAGAGTAGATCTGGCAGGCCTGCAAGGAATTGCTGGAGGCAGGAACAGCAAAGATCAGCTTGCTTAATGATGGATTTAGTCAACTGCATAAATGTTCTCTCCTCCTTCAGCAAGAGTATTCTCTGTGGGAAATGAACTCCCCTACAACCTCCATTTGGGAAGCGGGGTGGGAGGACATAATCTTTATGAACGATGCTTCCTAATAAGTGAACAACCAGCTATGCTGACAGGAAACAAAGAGATAATAAGAACCCAGTCTTGAAATTACGGTTGCCACTTGGATCAACAACCACATGCCAAGCCTCTCCATTGCCTGTGCCATTCCTTCTCACCCAGCTAGCAGAACTGCACAAGTTGCACTCCTTACACTGTAAGCTTCTCTGCCTCTACCACCACAAAAAGGTGACATGGATTCAAGGCAGTGAATGACCTGGGAATATGTGAGACTCCAGCATTACTGAAGCTGGCATGACCATACATCATCTCATTAGCACCTTGTATCGGAGACCAGTCAGAACCCTGTGAAAAGGTGGGATACAATAATGAGTACAATATGAAGGCTCCAGCTCATACAGTGATATAGAGGAGAGTAGACAGTGGTGAGAAACACACCATGGGGAATGCTAATCCCTATGACAACCATAATGTATTTATCAGCTGCTGTGAGCACAAAGCAGCTCATTTGCCTAGCCGAAACTAAGCTGCAACTTCTTCTAGTGGTCATTTCTACAGAAGGATGGAAATGCTTTTTTAAAGATCTTGGCCTGATCTAATCCTGTCACCCTACAAATTTAAAAAGAATGGATTATGCTTTTTTGTCTGCAGGCATTTTAAATGTTATGCTTCGAGTCTCTCTTAGCTATACTAAGATGGGCATTCCCAGAGCAGTAGAATTCACAGAACAGCGGAATCAAGCCAGGAGCCAATCTGCATAGGAAGCTGCCTGTCTGAGACCTTGCGGCTGAAGGGAAGCCTGTCAATTGGCCCCCTTTGCCTTCCGCTGCTAGCCAGCAGCAGACTAAAGACAAGAAAATTGGCTAATACAAAGGCTGCTCTGGTGGAAAAAATATGAGTAGAGAGTGACACTTATCAGGCACTGTCAAACAGATGCTTTTCAGAGCTTTTTTCTTTGCCCTCCTCCCCCACCACCCCAAAGTCTCCCAGCTTGGGAATTTTGGACACAGCCAGCTACAAGCAAAGTGTGCTTCTGGAGAATTCTGAGGGGTAGTAGAGAGAAACTGAATGAACAGGGCACATACTGGCACCCCCAAACATTAATGTAGGGAGGAGGGAAAATAATTCCTTTTCCTGCTATCTCAGAATAATTTGTCACTGAAAATAGGAATGACATTATTTAAGAGGGGAGTCAGACCCAAAAGCACATATCAGAACAAACAGATGATGCTTCCAAACAGAATATTGATTGACCTGGCTGGCTAATACCAGCAGATCTGCCCATTCTGCTCATTTGATCAAAATGGTAAATGAAGCAGAGTGAATCACCCAAGCAATCCAACTTCCGTCCAAGAAAAGTGGTGCAATTCAGCACAGCCGAGTTTTTAACCTAAGGATAAAACTACTTTCAGTGCTCACACTTCTAATTCTGGGTCACAAGAGCTCTGGTACCCAGTTTAATGCAGAAGCAATCCGAATGGTAACTCAAGGAGTCAAGACACTTTTTTCTTCTTCTATCAAGAAGTCAGTTACTGTACACTGTCATGTGCTACTGCTCAGGGTAGGATTAACATCCAACAGGTGAATTCTCTCCACTATATAATACAGAATTTGTTCCTAAATGTTCTGGCAAGAGAAGCCAACAATTTGGCAACATTACCAAGCATCTGCATGGAGAGACCAGCTAATGTAGTAGGTCCAATAACCATGACTGAACATGAATCATATCTGACCAAACATATCTGACTTGTTTTTCAGCAAGTGAATCTTGAAGAATTCAACAGCTGGGGAGATCACTAGTTAGAACAAAATGTGTGAGCCAAACACAAGCTATGTCTTACCTAAGAGCAGATCTATTAAGGGCACTGTGGCATTGAGACTCCATTTATTTTTCCTCACTATTGTTTTAGTGGACAGCTGGCTCCCCTTAAATAGTTCATAAAGGACCTTTGAGATGGCCCAGTTTAAAAAGAAAACCTGCATGGCTTAAAAAACAGCCAGTAGGGGCAATGGGATGCTGCCAGTCTGCTTTTAAACACACCCAGCGTGTTTTTTCAAGGCCGTAGGTTCAGTTTTTTAAAAAGTGATTTCAAGCTAAAACAAATACAGTATTAGAAGAGAAACAAAACAAGGCCCTAGAGAAAATAAAGTGCTTTTAAAAAATCCCAAACCTGGGCCAAAAATTTTGAACTAGCATAAAAGGCCCATTTTTGAGAAAGGGTTCAAGAAAGTGCAGGGTGAAAGTGCAGGGCTTTCACCGAGCACAAACAGCCACACTATGAATGAAATGAAGTCACATCAGGATTCAGCATTAAAAATTCTCTTGCAAACCTGCCCAGGAGAGAAAACTCCAGAGATTCCAGAAGGGTCACAAGTCCATCATGGTCACTTTGCAACCAACATTCTAGTAGGACAGTAGAACTAAAGAGGCGAATAGAATAGAGGGAGAAATGCAAGGGAAGTACTGACTAGGAGAGGGGAAATGGGAAGAACCTGGCTGCTCCATGGCAGATCTTCCTAGGAAAATCATCAGCACTTGGAAGGGTGGGGGGCACAGGTGATAGAATGTCTGTGCCGAACTGCGTGTTGCACAAAGATATCGTTAAAAATACAGTATGCTGGACAGAGGGTATATTGAGTGCAACAATTCAATGTAACTGCTCCAAACCACACTTCACGAGCTAGCTGACTCATTGTACACCCTTCCACATAGACGCTTGCACCATCATGGCAGCAGGGAACTAGTCCCCACATTTCGAAAGAGTAAGGGGGTCATGATGTGGCAGGAGACTCAGCTGCTGCCTCGTCTCCCTCCTCAGAGTCCCAGACCTCAGACTGCAGGTAGTTGGCGAAGAGGGCCTTGGCGCGGTGAAGGATCTTATTCAGGTTGTGTCGGCGGACCAAGCGATCAAAATGCATGGCCAGCTCATTGTAGTCCATATTGTTTTTGATGATGTGATCGCGATGCTCCAGGAGGATGGCGAGGCACAGGAAGAGTACAAAAGGGTTGCCTCTGCCAAACTCCTGTGGGGGTGGGAGGCTGAGAGCAGCAGGAGGAGTTGGAGCAGCAGGCCCATGGGTGGGAGAAGAAGGCGTATTCATCACGAAGTCCCCCTTTTCCTCCTCAGACTGGCTTTCCTCATTGCCATTGGTTGAGGAGGAGACAGAGTCTTGAGAGGGTGGCGTCAAGATCCGGAGTGAAGGGGCAGAGAAGGATTTGGCCACATTAGTAATCTGGATCAATGGATCTTGTTCACTGCTACAGTCCTCATCCTCTTCCACGGAACACTGTGATTTGAGCGATGGGTCATCTTCTGAACTGTCCTCATTACGAGTACTATAATACTTGAATTCCCCAAAACTAGACTGTTTCATTAGTGTCTTCTCCTCAGAAACAGCCCCCTGGCAGGGCTGATCCCCAGCTGCCTCGAAACTGCAAGCTGGTCGTAACATGTGTCTTCTCCGGACAGGCTGGCTGCTGTCGCCAGGCTTGGCTGGTGGGCCCACCAGCTCCACTTCCTTCTCAGGAGGGTCAGGAGGAAAGGAGCTCCAGGTGACCTCCAGCATGCGCAAGGCATCCTCAAAAGCAAACTCGCGCTTCAGCTCCAGCAGCAGCCAACGATAGCAGAAGAAGAGGTCATCGGCACCACGGGAGAGGAGGTAGGAGTAGAACTCTGGGTCTGAGTGATGGAGAAGCAGCTTGAGGTGGGAGAACTTAACTGACATGACTTCCCCGTCTACCTGAAAATTGCCCTCCAGGCGTTTCATGATGCCACAAAAGCAGATGAAGGCATGAGCCTCGTTATCCATTACAGCCAGAATGGGGGAGGCAATGTCACTCATGCCCTGACAATAGGAGATCTGTGGGTGTGTCACGGCATAGGTGGTTAGCAGGTCGTGCAGGGCTGTCAGGTGAGGATTATCATCTGAGCCGGCATAATATGGGTGAGTGCGATCTGTTCGCAAAACGTCCTTCAGCACATTGCTGCGAATGAAATCCAAATCCTCGAGGCTGGCCCGGGCCTCCCACTCCCCCTTCACCTGCTCATACTCCCGTGTCTTTTGTTTCATGTAATCCATGCGCTCCTGACCAGTTAACCCATCAGGATAGACATTCAGCAAGTATCTCCAAACCACCTGCAGGAAACAAGAATGATTCAGCTTTGGAAACAGTTTTCTGCACTAACAGAGGGTAGGCCTGTCCCTCAGGAGTGCTGAACCTTAAAACCATCGGTAAAACGAGGACCTCCAAGGTTTCCTTGCATTGGCTATACCCCCTCCCCTAGCCCCATCCTCTTTCTATTGATGGTGAATAATTTGGGGTTCTCCCAGTTTTACACAGTTTATGTCCCATTTTAAAAGACAGAATACCTGCCCTAAAACCTAATTACCAGTAAGAAGAGCTTAAAGGTATAATATGCAGGCATTTTGCCTCTGCCCCCCTGGAATGCAACCCCAAAGAGTTTCAATTCAATCCCCAGGCTGGAAGGGGTTCAACACCCCAACCCTAGAGCCTGGCATGATTGCACCATCGTTTCAGGAAGGCTTAGAGACTACAATTTCAGAGTGGGAGCAAAGGAAAAGCTTTGTTCTTGCTCACAAAAGCTGAAAGACAGAGGACTGGTTCCTAGAGGGCCCAACCTTACCTTACGCAGCGAGGGTTCAACTCCACCATGGAAGATCCGGAGACGCAGTTCTGCAGGCCTCGTTAGCTGCCCTTCATGGTTCAGGTATGTATGGAACTCTGAGTCACTCAGTGGGGGCTTGAAAGGTTTGACATCCTCCCCGTAGGACCAGCTGAGTGCCTGCTGAACTTTTGAAAGTGTCCTGCCCACCTGGGAAGAGAAAAGGAGAAAGCTGAGGTCAGCAAGCAACCTGTACTTGGTGATTTAAAAGCTGGGAAGTAAGAGATCAAGCAGTCCTCCTCCAACTGCTCTACGTTTTATCTGAGCACTCACATCATGGCTTCTGAATCCCTGCTGCAGCCGACTACTGGCAACAGTAGCTTAGAAGAAGCTAGTCTGCTGATTCTACAAGGATGACCTAAAGAGAAATGGGATCTTTCGTGGTTCATGGGTAGAGATAGGCTGGAAGACAAGAGTAGCCAAAACTGGTTTCTTCCTTTTACCCCTTTCTATCTTAGGAACCAAGTATTTCATTAGAGATTTGCTTAAGGAGTGCCACAGCATGGAAGTCTAATTTAGAAGAACTGATTCACTCCTTTCAGGCCTACCTGGGAGATGATGGACTGGGTGAAGGGTAGGGCCGCTGCCGCCAAAGACCGCTTCTCCACCAGGAGCAGGTCAGTACTGATTACATCCTTGGGGCTGATAATGTCCCAGTCTTCTAGCAGGGGGCCTAAAAGAATATTGCAAGGTGAGATAAGACCTCAAGCCTGGGATCTGCCATCTTCTGGGTTCATGATTTCACAAAGCCATATCCCATTGCACAGAGAAGTGCTACAGAAAGAACATAAACCACAGAACTGAGGCTCCCTATACTCCCATTGGCCTCATTTCAAAAAGAAAAGGGGTTGAATGGCACCAAGTGAATTCCATGCTCCATATAAATTATATATATACAATACAAATACATTGTGCAAAATTTACATTTTAACGCATTTGCTTGTTTTGCATAATTCTGCTTCTGCCAAGAAGGAACAAAGATATTTCCAACACTGATTACTGGAAATCATCACTGATGTCATATTGTATTTGCATATATCTTATATTTACAAGCTAAAGACCTAGAAACATGTCTTTAAATGCACACTACAGGAGGCTGAATTCTATACTCAGTACCAAAACTGTGCACTTATGTGCTGCAGTCACAGAATCCACAAATTCCTTAATAGTGTCAGGTTTTGCAAGCCACATGCCCAAGGAAGGTATAACTTGCACTGTACAAAACATATCTGTAACAAACAGCTTTGCAGCGAGCCAGGTAAACTACTTTAACCAGAAATAGAAGGGATATGGAGCAGGGGGACACCCAGTTCTTCCTCTCCAGGCTTTTGCTTTTTTTCCCCTCCAAAGCTCCAGTAAGATGCTTCATGTTCTATCTCAGTCAACACTGACTGATTCTTCCCTCCTCTTTTTTACAGCAGCTACCAGTCAACATCTCCACAAGAAAATACTACTGACGGAGAAGATGGGGCAACTGAATTTCTTTTGAATTTTCTACAGCAAGAGAAGACAGTTGAGTATTCGAGAATTGTGTGCAAAGGGAACAAGAAATGGGAGGGCTGGAATCAGGACTCCTAGCAATCATGTTCAAGGTAGAGGAGCATAAACTACTCACTATCCTCTGAAGGCTTGATGTCTATCTTGAGCTGCAAGTAAGGCTTGGAGGCACCAGCAAAGGCCATGCCAAGGTCCCAGTCTGACATCAATGACAAATATGTTTCTTGGCTCTGTTTATCTCGGCCCAGGTAGCTGATGGCAAAATTCTTCTTCCTGCAATTAAGAGAAAGAGGTATTTATATCATCATACAGGAGTCCTTTTTGCTGCATGAAACCTATATGGTTGTTCTTTCTGTGCAGCAAATAGCGCATGTACACCCACATGCAGTCAATACTAGTCTAATTCACTCCATGTATGTATATAGGAATTCCTGTGCCATGTATGCATGCTGAAAGAGATGTATATGCACCTTCATCCCAGACAACTATACAAGCAGCAGACAGGCTACTTTCCGCACCAAAGCAAATTGTTCTGCATGAAACAGCTCCCAAAGTGGTAGTTTCCTAATACCTGAACAGAAAGTTGCTTATATAGGTTGGGTCTCCCAACCTAAATCTACCCAGACACTACAGTCAACATCTGAGGCCTTCTTGTCTTCATCTCAGTTTTATTCCCACATTCCATGAGTTGTCACTGCCCATCCAGATATGAAAATAGAAGCAGGCTTCACTTTTCTGCCCTACTGTCCCTGACCTGCAAGAAGATTGGCTTTCATTTGACGGAAAACCAGCATGGCAACTGGAAGCTATTCCCTTTCTTCCCCTCCCCTATCCTAGCCATGCAGTTGCTTTCCAGGACTCACCCATTGAGGTCAAAGGCCCTGATAAGGATGTGCTGCAACACGTCCAGCGATGTGATCTGTGGATCCACAGCAAAAGTACGGAATTCAGGCTGCAAGAAGCCTTCACATTTCTGCAAAGATTACAGAAAGTGAGTAGGACCATAGAAACAACCCGAGGCAAACGGTCCTCTTTAGCAGAAGACTTCAGAGATACAGCACTTCCTGGGGAGACCCAGTACAAAGACCTATTCCAACATAAGCTTCCTCACTTGCCAGAATGTGACAGCTCTGGTTTTTTTACCATGGTGGATAATGAGACTTGGTGTCCTTCTGTCCTCATTAAAAACAGCCTTTAAATACTATTTATGTAGCAAATATACATACCTGATTAGACCAAACAAAAATTCTGCATCAGGAATGTGTTCTTTGTAATAAAATAAAATCCATTCTACTTTAATTTAGAATGAGGGAATGACTAATGCTGTCACTGCCACTGTTTCAATACACAAAGAGGCATATGGCAATACAATCCCATTTACATCAATTCAGTTGCACCAAGCTAAACATTTGGCATTTCTATGACCACACATACACACACAGACAAAAATAGTCCCTCTCAAGAAAAGGAACAGTTACTGCAACACACATAAAAAGCAAGTTGTACTAACTAATGAATGGGCAGATATGGCTGTCTGTATTTCTTATCACTATGGATATGAGAGCCCAAACATGAGGCCCCAAATATATGAAGTAGTCTCAGATACTGCCCCCCTCCCCCCAGTACATAGCTATTTATTTATTTATTTAAAACATTTTTATGCCGCCCCCATCGCAACGAAGCCTCGGGACGGCTCACAACAGAAACAAAATACATAAATAAATAACAATATAACAATAAAAATTTTATTTAAAAACCTCCGGTGCATCTTGGCTAAAAATTTAAAATCCTATAAATACAAACAATTTAACAATTAAAATAAGTTTTACATAAAAAGGTCTTAGCCTGACGCCAAAAAACAAATAACGACGGCACCAGGCAGACCTCTCTGGGGAGCGCATTCCATAGATGGGGCGCCACCGCAGAGAAATTCCTCTTCTGGGTACTCACCCTCCTAATATCATTCACAGAGGGTTCCCGGAGAAGGGCATCTGTTGCTGATCTCAAGGGGCGGGAGGGCATATATGGACGCAAGCGTTCCTTTAGATATCCAGGTCCCAAGCCGTTTAGGGCTTTATAGGTCATAACCAACACCTTGAATTGGGCCCGAACTTCAATCAGGAGCCAGTGAAGCTGATGGAGAACTGGGGTTATATGAGAACAACGCCCAGTCCCCGTCAGCAACCTGGCAGCTCTATTCTGCACCAACTGAAGTATCCGGACCGTCTTCAAGGGCAGCCCCATGTAGAGCGCGTTACAGAAATCTAATCGGGAAGTGACCAACGCGTGTGTCACTGTTGCCAGGCAGTCGCCAGGCAGTCGTTCTCCAGGAAGGGATGCAGCTGATATATCAGCTGAAGCTGAAGGAAGGCGCTCCTCGCCACCGCCATCACCTGAGCTTCTAGAGACAGCTCAGGGTTGAGGAGCACTCCTAAGCTGTGAACCCTGTCCCTCAGAGGGAGTGCAAACCCATTTAGGACAAGGCCCAAGTCCCCCATCCCAAGGCCCGAGCCACCCACCAACAGGACCTCCATCTTGTGTGGATTAAGTCTCAGTTTATTGGCCCTCATCCAGCCCATTACCTCGGCCAGGCACCGGTTCAGCACAGCCACTGCCTCACCTGGATTGGTGGAAAATGAGAGGTAGAGCTGGGTATCATCAGTACGCTGATGATAC